GACGCTCCACCAATTGTGCTACTAAGACATGCCGAGATCAGTGAATGAAATCATCCTTTGGTCGATTTACCCGCTAAGCCTCCCAATAGTATTTGTACTTGTTTCCTTATTTAGAGCCCCCTAAAATATATTTAGTTGAATAAACACCTTGTATGAACAAACAGGGAAGTAGCACTATCAATAATACGTTTTAACTGAAACGGAGTATGTACCACAGCAAAATTCAATCGCGGAGATGGCTAGATGAAGCCTTTCTTCTAGGGCGCTGACCACAGGCAGGGTTATGCGACATCTGCCCCTCAGAACATCGTTCCCAGTCTCCTCAATCACTCCTTCAAGGTCAGCAAGTTGGCCAATTAGGGAGGACCAGGTCGTCTGATATGCAGCCAAAGCGTTATCAAGGGCCTGACGGTCGGAGCGTACCCTTTGCATGCGAGAGTCAAAGAAGGGTTGGACGAGACGCAGACCCTTCTTTTTGTCATACTTCCTTAGTTGAACCTATAATAAGTCTTATTCAGATTAGGAAGTACTCACAAAGATATCCAAAACTGGAATCGTCGTCCTTAAGTATGCAAAGTTAATCGGGAAAATATCCAATCTTTCTTTTCAGAGAATAAAAATAAAGTGGTAAAGGTACTACATTTTGTCAGTCGAATCATTACGTTCGGTAAATGTTTCAGACATCACGCATTTACTTGTCAGATTTACTCAAAATATTATTTGTGTACGTCTTCGCTGCATACAATCGGTAATAGAGATGGTCCTTATCGGTAATAGAGATGGTCCTTATCGTTTGCTGCAGAAGAACTAACCTATTTTGTATTAAATTATTCGAGTTGGATATGAACTTCTGTTTGCTCTGTGAGATTTCCCGTAATGGTTTGACGAATGCACCAATCCCTAACAGCAAAAACAGGAAACATAACTTGATTCGAATAACCATGTAGTACTCCGGTAGTAATTTGAAATAAAGCGCCAAATACCATAAAATGCCTAATCCTCAAGATTTTCCCTCAATCGATGAAAAGCATCCTGCATTCTCACTGCTACTATAGACAAACAATTTAAGCTTATAGACAAAAATAAGTAAAATATCTGCCAAAATATTTCGTTTGCATGCCTCCGAAATTGTAAACAGCAGGTGTGTGAGTAACTAAATTATCTAAAAGTAAGTTGATCGTAGGAACATCCTACAACTGCAGAGAAAAGTTTCCTTTAAGTTTACTTTTATTCATTCTCGAATTTGTTTCGTACTAAGCGCCAAAGTACAAATTATCATGTTTTTCATTTAAGGCACGCTAACATAAAATATAAACCACTATAAACATTAGAGTACATAGAGACACTTAAAAATAGGGTGAACCGTTTCTGTTGCTGCTCTTTGACTATGTCTCTGGTGACGAATCCGCGACGGATCTCGAAACGTCAGGCGAATAAAATATTTTCCCAGCGATCGAGTCGTCTTCTTCTCCATTCTAGGTTTCTTATTCCCTCTAAACAGCAGTCTGCATATTTCTACCTGAATCGGTTTTGAGACAGAAGTTAGGATTGGACATTTATCCATGGTGGGAACTGGTAAGCAGGCAACTTTTAAACTAATAAAGCATTTTGTGGGAGCTACTTTCCACCTTCGACAAAAATCATTTTGGAGGATTTGTTTCATTCGTTAAAAAAGCGTTATTTGACCTCATAATTCTTCATATAGTTATGCGCTCTCGGCTTACGACCATCTAGGTACTTACCGCAAGTTGTCGCTCAAAAGCCTGAGTCTCCTGCATGATAAAGTTTCGCACACCATGACACTTTTGTTTGACATCAGAAAGGGATGATCGGATATCCTCGATTTCTTTTTTTAACTGACTAACAAGTCGTCTTTGGTTATCTGTAATATGAAAGGAAATGGTGATGTGTAACAGATATACTTCTCTGTTTTATTAAATTAAAACAATAATTTTAGGAATAATGCGATTGCAGATTATTACGTGTACTTGGGTTAGGTATATACCTTATCCTTTTACGCAAGCGCTAATACCTGACACGATTGCTAATGAGATAATTTTTCTTAGAAGAGGCACTCCAATTTTACTTCTCTCTAGAAATTAGGTTTAATACATTACGAATTTCGTTAAGTCACGTACACAAATAACGGAAACAAATATTTGGTTATAGCTAGGGATCAGGGACATAGAATATCGCAAATCAAATCAAACATTTGCGTGACTATTATTTAAGCTACGAGTTAAAAAAATGCTTCTTCCATTTTGCACATGCAACACACGTCTGGCTCTTTTTATTTCATTATTGCAATTTTTTGGGTGACGTTTAACGTAAAGGTTGCCGTAAAAAGTATGTTTGTAAACATACATCTACAGGCACAAGATGGTCATAAGGCTAACTGAAGTTCCATAATTTTAGCAGGAAACTACTAATCAACTGTTGTTATTTTAAGAAAGATTAGTACATTTTGAAGGATACCATTGTTTACAACGCAGGGCTTACAGCCCAATGTAATAAAAAGATATAATGCTGAAAACGCTATCATTCAGTCTATCTCTTTTATTGCAACTGGTGTATTAAGAGGTGAGTTTTTGGGCAGAAAACCATGGTTCGGACTTCCAAGCCGTGTGCAATGTGATGTGACTATATTAGCACTTAGGTGAAAACAACCAATTAGAACTATGACATAAACAAATCTACAGCAGAATATGTAGGCACGGCGAAATTCGAAAGAAGAACAACAATTTCAAGAACTGCTTTTTTATATTCATGAGATTCGTACGTTCAGCCTACTTGAAGTCCGAAATAATTTGGAACGCCAGGGCAAACTCAACTGATGCTCGGATTGCGCATACATGAACGTAAGCATGAGGTACAACTAGGCGGCGAATTATCACAAGTTGCAGCGCATACCTATGAAACAGACCATGAGTTCAACTTTGCGGCCGTCAAGGTACTCGCCTACGCCGGAAATAAGACGAGCCGGGAATTGATCGAAACCTGGTCCACGGATGAGAAGTCAATCAACCCATGTGTCGCGTTGGCGCCGGCGAACAGAGTCTTGGTTAGTCACGCCCAGACGTCTATCACTGTTATTTGGCCCACATCCTCTATAGTTAGCCCCATTTTGGTTGCTGACGTCCTGACGAGCCTGACACGTGATTGGTGTACACTCACTATAATTGCCCCATTTTTTGCTGTTTTTTCTCTCCGACGATGGACTCCTGTAAGAGTTCTAAA